GGTCCCTTCCCTTGCCTCGCCCTGAGCATCCTCTGCTCTTTCCCTGGGTCGTTTGATTTCAGCTGCGCCACAGCCAGCCGTGCCCGGGACTCAGCCCGGGCGAGCAGTCGGTCCTGGGGCAGGCGTCTCTTCCCGCGTCTCGTCGCACGAAGGCGTCAGGAAGGCGCCTTCTAGACCCTGTCAGGCCTCGCCGAGGGAGAGAATCCTCGCTAAAGAATTCCTCGCACCGTGCAGCTCTTCCTCCCGAGCTCTGAGCAGTTCCCTGAGTCGTGGCAGAGTTCGGATCTGGGGCCCGGGCGGCTGCGTCCGTATCCACATGCCTGTCCCGGGGCCCTGGTCGCGGCTCCTGGGGGGCTCAGGCCAGATGCTCGCGCCTCACTCCAGGCTCGTGGCTCCGTGGATGCTTTGAGTTTGGCTGCGGCCGTGTTGCTGCCCCAGAGCCTGTGGGCGTGTGGCGTCCGTCTCGGGCACGTTTGTGGGGTCTCTGGTCTCAGGCTGCGCGGGGACCTGCTAAACTGTCCCCACGGAGGCCGCCTCCCCCCGTCCCCTCCACGAGGGTTCCCGTGTGGCCTCACGCCCTTACCGCGGCAGGGGCCCCCGTGGCCTTGGGAGCCGGTCATCTCGCTGGTGGCGGGTGTACCCTCGAGCGGCTGTGTGCTTCCTGCTCTCCATGACAGATGCATGTCCCGGCCTTTGCCCGTGAAAAACACACGCGAAGGTTTGTCACCTCGACGGTCCAATTCCTGCCCCTTCCGGGGACGTGACCTGCCAGGCTTCCTCCAGCTACCAGGCGGGCTTTGTTGCCCCCATGAGGGCTTAAAACCCTTTCAGGACAGAAGCGTTTGCGTGGCAGCAAATGGGAGAAAAATCTTGGAGTTGTTCTTTCCGTTGGTCTTTTTTTTCTTGCCACACCCCGCGGTGCTGGGACTCCCTCCCGGTGGGGCTCAGGGACCACACGGGGCTCTGGAGCTCGGACCCAACCGGGCCACATCGAGGCAAGTGCCCGGCGCGCTGCGCTGCCTTTCCGGCCCCTCCCTTGTCCCCTTGGTTTTGGGGACACACCTGGCGGTGTCACTGGGCCTTTGCTCCTGCGGGTCGTTCCCGGCAGTGGGTACCGTGTGACGTGGGATTCAAACCCGGACCTCCTGCAAGCAGCCCCGTGCTCCGGTGCACCAAGCCATGCATGCGGGAGGCTGCGGGGGCTTCTGGCGTGAAGGCTGAGCCTCAGGCTATGGGCCGGGGGGAACACGCCGAGGGGCCCTGGGAGCACCTCATAGCCCGCTGGGCCGGCTGAGCGCAGAGGTTGGACGGGAGGAGGGGGTGGCGGGAAGGGCCCTGGGGTCTCGGGAGACCCCCCCCACCCACCAGGGCCAGTGGCTGCTTGTGTTAGACTGAGGTGCAGCTCGTTCTAAAGGTCTGTTTCCTCCAGGCTTTGTTCTTTCCTGTTTCCTGCGTTCACTGCAGGGCGCTCTCACCTGACTTCAGTTTCCCTGCAGGGCCGCTTCTGTGCCTGTTTCCCCGGGGGGCTGGTGCTTGCCTTGCCTCAGTTTCCCCACAGAACCGGCGCTTGCTGTGCCTCAGTTTCCCCATAGGACCGGCACTTGCTGTGCCTGTTTCCCCATGGGGCTGGTGCTCGCTGTGCCTCAGTTTCCCTGCAGGGCCAGCAGTTGCTGTGCCTCAGTTTCCCCACAGGACCGGCACTTGCTGTGTCTGTTTCCCCATGGGGCTGGTGCTAGCTGTGCCTCAGTTTCCCCACAGGACCGGCACTTGCTGTGCCTGTTTTCCCATGGGGCTGGTGCTCGCTGTGCCTCAGTTTCCCTGCAGGGCCAGCGCTTGCCGTGCCTCAGTTTCCCCACAGGACCGGCACTTGCTGTGCCTGTTTCCCCATGGGGCTGGTGCTAGCTGTGCCTCAGTTTTCCTGCAGGGCCAGCAGTTGCTGTGCCTCAGTTTCCCCACAGGCTGCAGGACCAGTGCTTGCTGTGCCTGTTTCCCCACAGGACTGGCGCTTGCTGTGCCTCAGTTTCCCCACAGGCCCGGCATTCACCGGTGCCGAGTCGCCGGTGGCAGAGCTGCGGCCTGTGTGCTGTGCCATGGTGCCCGTGGGGGTCCGGCCCAGGACCTCACGCCTGCCGGGTGGGTGCTTTGGCCCCTGAGCCTCTCCCGGCTGCCATGGCAGCATTTGGCCCCCCAGGGCTCGTGATGGTTCCGTGAGCACCGGCAGCTCTGACTGGGCTCCTGTCCTGGCCGTGGGTGAGCAGCTGCCCCCATTCCCCACCCCCAGACTGCGACCGGGGTCCCCCCTGCACAGCCAAGCCCAGTCCCGTCCACGCTTGCTCCTGGCTCCATCCCGCTGAGCTTCTACTTCGGCTGTGCCTCTGGTACCAACCCAGTCCCCAGAGCCCGCCTGGCCCCGTGTCCCCCTCCCCTTCGCCCCGTGTCACCCCCAGGGCCCCCACACTGGCCTCTGCTCAGGGCTAGGGTCAGGGCCCCAATGTCCCGGCCTGCATCCGGCCGTGTGTCCCCACGTCCCGCGCCCCAGTGACCCACAGCAAGACCAGACCCCGGCACCCCCTGCGGGGCCGCAGGACGCCTGGTGGGAGGGAGGACAGTGATGTTCTTGCTTGGCTCGGGGACCTGCCCGTGTCTCCCTGCAGCCCTGCCCCGAGCACGCACAGACGCCGCTTCCCGTGGCCTCCTCGTTCTCCCCCTGGGAACCCTGGAACCCCCCACCCCGTTTCACCTTCCTCTCCTGAGCACGGGCAGGCCAGTGGGTGCTGGTGGCTGCTGGGCCTCCCCCTGGTCTTGGGGGTCGCAGGGCTCCTCCTGGCCGACTGTGCAGTGCTGGGATGGATCCTGGACCCTGCGTATGCCAGGCCCGGCCCTGAGTCAGATCCCTGCCTGGTCCTCAGTTTCTGCTTTTGTTGGTTTGGTTGAGGGGCACACAGTGGTGCTCAGGGCATACTCCTGGCTCTGCACTCAGGAATTTTACTCCCGGCGGTGCTAAGGGGACCCTATGGGATGCCGGGGATTGAACCCAGGTCGGCCGTGTGCAAGGCAAACACCCTCCTCACTGGACCACTGCTCTGGCCCAAAGATTTTAGTTGTTATTGTTACTATTATTATTATTTAGCTTTTTGGGTCACACAGGGGTTACTCCTGGCTCTACACGCAGGAGTTACTCCTGGCGGTGCTCACGGGATCATATGGATGCCGGAGATCGAACCCGGGTTGGCGCATGCAAGGCAAACGCCCTATCCGGCCCCATCCGGCCCTCAACTTCTAACGAGAACTTTCTCTCGTCAACTTATTGACAACATTCTGAAGCCAAGCCCCCACCCCAGCTGTCTGTCTGTCTGTCTTAGACCCAGGCCTTGGGATCGGATGGGCGGGCAAACCTCACGCCCTTCACAGCCCAGTGCTGGTGTCGTCCACTCCTTTTTGTTTGCTTGGGGGCCACACCTGGCCGCGCTCAGGACTCTCTCCTGGCGGGGCTCTGCTGTCCACGCAGAGTCCCGGGACTGAGCCTGGATGGGCAGCACAAGGAGGCCCTGTCAGCTGCCGTGGGACGTGCGTGTTCAGGCGCGTTGAAGGGAAGGGCCAGGCGGAAGGCGGGGATCGAGCCACTCACACCTTCCTCGCCGCACGCCAGCCCCACGCCGGCCGCGGCTGGCGGCTGGATTCTAACAGTCGGAGGCACAGGCTGCCCTCCCCGGCGCGGGGCTGGGGGAATGTGCGATATTTTTAGCTTCCGAGGCTAAAACACTCTGTGGGGGAGGTGGAGGAGGCGCTGTCCCGAGAGCAGAGACGAGAGCGAGTTAATAGCGCAGCCGGGCGGGCAGGCGGGCTGCTCAGAATAGCCGGCTAAACTCGGCACGTCGCGGGTCGGCCTTCTGCTGTGGAGCAAGCGCAGCCGTGGGATTCTTCGCCACCCTCCCGCACCCCTGGGCCTCCGGCACTGCTCGGGTTCGAGCACACATGGCCAGGCTGGCGGCAGACTCCCTGGGGGCAGTGCCCGCCGCTGGGTTTGAGCTGGGAGTTGGGCGCCCCAGAGGCCGGGGCTTGAGCCGAAAACGTCTTGGGCTCTGGGAACTGTCACTCCGGAGTGTTACCCTCACTGGGCCCCTGGGAGCTGGGCGGGCGCCGGCTGGGTTCACTGCCCGGCACCCGGTAGGGTTGCTGAGCCCCTCCAGAAGCGACCCCTCAGCAATGGTGGGTGTGGCCCAAACAGACTTAAGAGTATTTTTTTTGTTTTGTTTTTTTTTGGTCACACCCAGCGATGCTCAGGGGTCACTCCTGGCTCTGCACTCAGGAATTACCCCTGGTGGAGTTCGGGGGACACTATGGGATGCTGGGAATCGAATCCGGGTTGGTCGCGTGCAAGGCAAACACCCCACCCGCTGTGCTATTGCTTCAGCCCCAGACTTAAGAATAGGTTAAGGAGGCGAGGGGTGTGTGTGTGTATGCGTGTGTCTGTGTGTGTGTCTGTGTCTGTGTGTATCTGTGCGCATGAGTGCACATGTGCACGTGTGTGTGCACGTGTGTGTGTCCGAGGGGCCATCAGGAAGGACCCCCGGGAGCTCTCTCTTGCATCCCTTGCCCTAGGAAGTCAGGGTTGGGTTGCGTTTTGTGTCCCTAAAAAGACTACCCGATTTTGTTTTGCTCTCCTAAGTTGCTCCGGAGGGTCAGGGCCCCTCCGTGCAGTTCTCAGCTGGCGGGACCAAGAAGGGAGGGACACTGATGCCAGGGGTGACCTGGGCCATCCCACGGTGCTGGGGTGGGGGGCCCTCTGGACCTCATGCAGGGGTGTGGGGACCTGGGGACAGTGCTGGATTGGGTGACAGCACCACATACGCTGGACGACGAACTGTGAGGGGCGGGGCAGGGCTGTGCAGGTGAGCCACTGGCCCCTGACCCCTGTGCCGTCTCTTGGGGTTGGGGGGCGGCCGATGAGTGCCCGACTCCCGTGCCGTCTCCCTGACCCCCTCTTTATGTCGGTGCAGAGTGGACCCAGATCTCGACCAGGTACCTCCGGGAGCAGCTGGCCAAGATCTCCGACTTCTTCCACCGGGCGTCGAGCGCGGGCGAGAGCCCCGGGCCGGTGCCGCTGGACGTAGAGCAGGCGCTGACGCAGTGGGAGTACAGCGAGAAGCTGGTCTTCCACATGTTCCAGGTGAGGGGCGGCAGCGGCCACTTGTGCCCCGGCCCGGCCCGCCCCCGCCGGGCTCCAGGTGCCGCTTTGTCCCCACCGCAGCTTCTTGGCGGCCTTTCCGTGTGTCTTTGGGGCCACGCCCAGTGCTGCTGGGGACCCCCGGGCTCCGTGCTTGGGGGGCCGCTCCCCGGCACGGGGGCCCGATCTCCCACCATGCACTGCTGCCCTGTGGCCAGCCCTCCATCCCGTCCCTGCTGCCTGGGCACTGCGTGTCCCTGCAGAGTGAGCCCCTGGGCACTGTCCACCGTGCAGATGCCAGCTGCATGGGCACTGCCCGGCTCACACAGGGGTTGCCTTCATGTGGCTGTCTCTGCGGGGGGCTGCCCCCTCCTCCCTGCTCCTCGTAAGGTCACTCTGGGCCGTCTCCCGGCCCTGCTGGCCTCCCCCAGAGCTCTGCCCTATGTCCTGCGCGCCCGATCTCGGGAGGCCCAGGACGACCACAAGGGCTCAAGATTCTCACATGTTCTTGCACGCCCGTGGCCCCCTCCTGGCTGTGCTGGGGTGGGACCAGGTCAGGTGCGCGCTCCTGCCCCTTCTCCCTGCAGCCCTCCCCCCGCCCCCACACACACAGGGGCGGTCATGGTAACTGGGTCAGGTGAGTGTCTGCCCCTGGGGGGGCCCTAGGCCAGCTGGCGGGAACCCTGCTGACCAGCAGAGGGCGCTGTGCCCCCGCCTGATCCCGGTGCCCGCAGGGTGGCCGGATCTTCCCAGCTAAGACTGACCACGTTTTCCCAGGAAGGGGTGAGGGTTCCCGCACTTGGTTGTCTGACGCTTTTTCCTTTTTAATCCTCATTTGGTTTTAGGCTTTGGGGCTCCCCTTGGCCGTGTTCAGGCTGGACTCCCGGCTCTGCACTCGGGAATGGCTCCTGGCGGGGCTGGGGGGACCATGTGGGGTCCTGGGACTAGAACCCGAGTCGGCCGCATGCTGGCCTCACCCCTGCAGGAGCGCCCTGGCCCGGTCTAACATTCTTCCAAGATTTCATTTGCATCTATGGAAGTGCCCGCCCCTCTGATTTCTGGGGTTGGTCACTGTGGTGTCGGGAGCATTTGAATCATCGCCCTGGGGCCACTTGGTCCCCTGAGCATCGTCAGGTGGGGTCTAGGGCCAGAGCAGCACCTCGTCCTGAGCCTGCGCATCGAGCTGTCACCTGCTTGGTGGAGAAATTCCTGAGCACTGCGTGGGAGCAGCCTCCTCTCACCCCCAACAATAAGGGAATTTTTTTTTAAAACAGGATGCAATAAAGTCTTAAGCAGGTGAATCTGGTTGCAAGATTATTATTAAGTTCATTGTATTTTACCATATTCTGAGACATGTAGTTGCCCGATGTCTTCCTGTGCAGGAATGAGGCATTGGGGGGGACCAAGCCGAGACTTCCTGGAGGTCAGACCCCCGACCTCGAGATGCTAGTGTCTGAAGGTTTTCTTTTGAGGGGGTGGAGCCTTGCATTCAGCATTTTTTGGTATCTTAGTGCAAAATTCCCTCTTAATGTGAAATCTCTTTTTACTGACCTTAAAACTGTACACTTTACTACTTACTTTTTTGGCTACTTCTTATCCCTTTGCATGTGTGTGGGGCCAGGGGGTGGTCCCACTTGGCTGTGCTCAGGACTTACTCCTACTTCTGTGCTCAGAGGTCATTCATAGTGGTGCTCGGGGGACCGTAGACTGTGCCGGGGATGGACCCCGGGTTGGCCAAGTGTAAGGCAAGTGCCTCAGCCAGGTACCATCACTCTGACCCTGGAAACAAGAATCCTTTTTTTCAAATTCTTTTTCTTTTGGGGGGGATCACACCCGGTGATGCTCAGGGGTTACTCCTGGCGGTGCTTGGGGGACCATATGGGATGCCGGGGATCGAACCCAGGTTGGCCGCGTGCAAGGCAGACTCCCTCCCCGCTGTGCTACCGCTCCGGCCGGAATCCTTTCCCCCCACTTCCGTTGAGAATCAGTGAGAGCAGCCTGAAATAAACCGGGTGTCGCTGCATCTGGGACTGGGCCGCGTGGGGGGTTGGCGGCGTGCAGGCTCGCACCCGGGTCCTTTTCCCCAGGGCTCTGCATGTGTGTCCCGCGGGCGGGTGCCTGCCTGAGCGTCTGTCATGCCACGTTCACACTGAGTCCCCCCCCCCCCCCACCCCGCTGGTTCCAGGAGGGGCTTTTGGAGAAGCACGAGTACCTCACGTGGATTCTGGACATGCTGGAGAAGACCAGGCCGACGGACGAGGATCTCCTCAAGCTCCTGCTGCCCCTGATGCTGCAGGTGCCCCCCCGCCCCCCACCCCCTTGTCCCCCTCCCCGTCCTCCCAGCAGAGTCAGATTGCAGGGGGGTTTGTCTGGGTGAAACGGGCTGGCTTGGGGCCACACGGGACAGACGTGCCCAGGGACACCCGCCGAGTGGGGGCTGTCCCCCGTGGGCTGTTCTGCTCCCGGGCCCCTCTGAGGCCGAGCTGGGTCAGCACCTCCCAGCCGCCTCCACGCCTGCCCGGGGCAGCAAACTGACCTTCATCCTTGAAGGACGTGGAGGCGCTTCCACACTCCTTGTTTTTATTTATTTATTTATTTTGCAGGGTCGGGGGTGGGGGGTCACATTTGGTGGCGCTTAAGGGCTGCTCCTGGTTCGGTACTCAGGGCCTGCTCCTGGGGGTGCTTGGGGGACCAAGTGGTTTTGAGAGGGACCCGGGGGCCAGTGAACTCTCTCCAACCCCCTCCCCCTTCTCTTCTGGCCTCCTCCAAGTCTCTGCGGATGGAAAACCGCCTGTTTCAGTGATCGGTCTAAAAGCCGATGACATTGAGGTCGCTTGAGTGTCACTTATTTAAAAAGGGCCGGGGGTGGGGGGAGTCATCCTGAAGGCGGCTACAGAGGCTGGCCTGGTGCCGGGGCTGCGGGTTCTAACCCTGTGTCCCCTCCCAGCCTGGGCTGGCCTGGTGTTTAGTCTCCCGGCGCTGCCCAGTGAGGGAGAAAAGAGGAAAAGGAGAAAGTGTCTCTGGTCGTGCCGTATGCACTTGACGTTTCAAGCTCTCGTGGAGTCTTGTGCAAAGTTCTCTCGTGCCCCTGAGGTCACAGTCCCTGGCACCAGGCAGTGTCCCCTGACCCGAACCCAGACCTGGGGCCCTGCTGGCCGGAGGGGAGCACCAGCCCAACCCTGGGGGGAGAGCCCCGACACTGAGCTGGACACGCGGAGACACGCCCTGGCCCCCAGACTTCCCCTCGGTGCTGACCATCCGGCCTCCAGGCTCGGTCCCACGGGGAGAGGAGGGCAGCAGGGGGTGCTGCTCAGGGAGACGTCTTTCCCCCTCTTTATCTTTATTTATTTATTTATTTATTTGCTTTTTGGGTCACACCCGGCGATGCACAGGGGTTCCTCCTGGCTCTGCATTCAGGAGTTACTCCTGGCGGTGCTCAGGGGAACCTATGGGATGCTGGGAATCGAACCCGGGTTGGCTGTGTGCAGGGCAAACGCCCTCCCCACTGTGCTGTCGCTCCAGCCCTCCTTCCCCCTCTTCAAAGAGCTGAAATTTGTCAGTCGCTGCCGTTTCCAGTAGGAGAAACTGTAGGTCTGTGGGGGACTGGCCGGGCAGCGGTTCATGGGACCGAGGCTGAGTCTTCAGCTCCTTAGAAGCCCCCGGCCCTCCCGAGGGGAGCAGAGGCCCCAGATGCTGCATGTCCGAGAGTCGCTTTCCACTCCTGTTGCAGGCCGGAGGGGTTGGTGGCTGTCTCAGGGTTTTCTGGTGGCCTTGCCCCCTCTTACTGGGGGATGGGGTGGGGGTTGCCGGGGGTGGCAGCTGGGGTCGGGTTTGCGCCGGGTGGGTGCTCCCAGGCCATTCGCAGGCGCTCCCCCAGCTGTGCCCTGGACGTGCTGGGCCCTGGAGTGACCGCTGCCCTGACCGCCGGCCCTGACCGCTTCGCCCCGTGCCTTGCAGTACTCGGATGAGTTCGTGCAGTCGGCCTACCTGTCCCGCCGGCTGGCCTACTTCTGCACCCGGCGCCTGGCCCTCCTGCTCGGCGACAGCCCTGGCCTCCTGTCGGCCCCCGCGCCCCATGTGCTCCTCGGGGCCCCCAGCACCAGCCTGGGTGCCCCCAGCCCTGGCGGCCCCGGGCCCTGCGTGAGCCCCGCCCAGCTGGCCTTCTCGGACTTCCTGGCCTGCGCGCAGCACGGGCCCCTGGTGCACGGGCTCAGCTGCGTGCTGCAGGTGAGTGCCACCCACGGCCCTCCCCGCCCACAGCCCGCTGCCCCTGGCCTGGACTCAGACCCCGGCTGGGCCTGCAGTGCCCCGGGGCAGGGGGAGGGAGCGCCACGTCACTCCTTGGTGGCTGTCTCAGGGCTTTCTGGTGGCCTTGCCCCCTCTTATCCTGCAGGAACCGTCCCCACCCTCTCCCCTCCGGACTCAGCCCGGGGCATCCCTGTGCCTGGCCAACGGCCACCGCCCCGCCCTGGCCTTGAGATGCCCACTCTCCCTGCTCTGTCCCCAGACGGTCACCCTCTGCTGCCCAAGTGCCTTGGTGTGGAACTACTCCACGAGTGACAGCAAGAGCGCCAGCCCCGGATCCCCGCTGGACCTGCTGCAGGTGGCCCCGTCCAGCCTGCCCATGCCTGGCGGGAACTCGCCCTTCAACCAGCAGGTGGGGCCCGGGGCGGTCGGGTGGGCTGCGTGGGGCCCCTTGGAGCCGCGGGAGCTCACCCACTCACCCTCTTGTGTCTGACCCCCTTGCCGATGACTCTTCTAGAAAGTTCCCGTCCCCCTACTCAGACGGGGGTGTGGGAAGCCCCTGGGGCGGGCGCTGGCGATGTGGAGTGGCCGCCCACGTTCCGTGTCCTGTTGGGTCCGCTGATGCCGAGTCCAGCCTCGGACCCCTCTGGGCTCACCCGGCAGCCTCCAAGGCTATGGCGGTTCCTCACGGGGCCGGGGGGAGGGCACTAGCTCAGAGATGACGGCTTGGACCATTCGCCTTCTCCTTGGTGGGGGCGGCTGACCCTGCAGTGTCGTGGTCATCCTGTCTCCTCGGGGCCCACTGGCATGTGCTCAGCTCTTGAGCTGCCTCCAGCCCGGCACGTCTGCTTTTTTATCATCATCATCATCATCATCATCATCATTATTATTCTGACTTGGGGTCCAACCCAGCGGTGCTCAGGGATCCCTCCTGGTGAAAGTCAGGGCCCTGTGGCGGGTGGGTATCGAACCCGGGTCGGCCGTGTGAGAGGCAAGCGCCCACCCACCCTGCGGTGGATCAGGCTGCCCCAGCTGACCTTGTCCGGTGAAACTTCCTGTCACCTGCATTTGTTTTCACCGGCCCATTTACCGGAAGCTGGTGTTGGCTCCCCGCTGGAAGCTGGGTCACTTTCAGCACGTGCCGGGTGACCTTCTGCCAGGCTTCCTGCCCCTCCCCCCACGACCCCTGTGTGGCTGCCCTGGGCCTGCTGACCGCGGCCACTCTCTTCCAGGTCCGGGCCAGGATCTATGAGGTGGAGCAGCAGATCAAGCAGAGAGGCCGCGCCGTGGAGGTCCGGTGGTCTTTCGACAAGTGCCAGGAGTCGACAGCAGGTGGGCGGCGTGGGGGGATGGCAGGGAGGGCTGGGAATGCGGGGCCTCCTGCACCTCCTCTCTCCTCCCCCCTCCCCTTCTCCCTCCCTCCCCTCCTCCTCCCCTGTCCTCCAGACATGAGTATGTCTGTGTGTGAATATGTGTTTCTGTTTGTGTCTGTGTTAAATATCTGTGTATGTGTGTGTGTGTATGTGTGTGTGTCTGTATATCTGTGTGTCTGTATGTGTGAGTATATGTATGTCTGTGTGTCTGTGTATGTGTGAGTGTGGGTGTGTCTTCTCCTCTTCCTCCTCCCCCTCCTCTCCCTCCCCTCCCCCACATGGCACTCGCTCCTAGGAGTCGAACCCAGTCGAACCCTGGGACCCTGGGCCGACACCCAGACCCTCCCAGACTGCCTGATGAGGCCTCTCTGGCAGCTCCGTGCTGAGAAACGCTCTTTCCTTAAGGCTCCCTTTGCCCCCCCCGCCCCGTTGGCCCCGGGCTTTTGTCTGCTACCTCCTCTCACCCCGCTAACTCCCCGCTCTGCGTCCATGCCCAGGGGTGACCATCAGTCGAGTCTTGCACACTTTGGATGTCCTGGACCGGCACTGTTTTGACCGAACGGACTCCAGCAACTCCATGGAGACACTTTATCATAAGATTTTCTGGGCAAACCAAAACAAAGATAACCAGGAGGTAATTTCTGTCTCTCTCACGCCCTTCTTGTCCCTGGGTCCTTCCTTCATTTCCATGAGTCCTGGCAAAGCCTCGGTGATGTGGGGTGGGGGTGTCTTAGGGTGTGGCCCGTATGCTGGAAACACTGCCTGTGTCCCAGCCCAGTGACCGGTGCTGTGGACCCGGTTGCCCAGGCACTGCTGCCAGAAAAGCTTCTCGTGATACTCACCCGGATTCCTCCCCACACCTCCGCAGCACTGCCGGTGTAGACAGGATACTATCCTCTGGTGACTGGACTATGGGTTCCCGTCACTGTCACTGTCCTCCTGTTGTTCATCGATTTGCTCGAGTGGCCCAGTAAAGTCTCCATTGTGAGACTTGTTACTGTGTTTAACGTATTGAGTACGTCACGGGGAGCTTGCCAGGCTTTGCTGTGCGGGCGAGATACTCTCGGTAGCTTGCCGGGCTCTCTGAGAGGGGCAGAGGAGTCGAACCCAGCTCGGCCACGTGCAAGGCAGATGCCCTCCCCGCTGTGCTATCGCTCTGGCCCCAGACTACGGGTACCGTTTGTTTTTGACTTAAAAGCAGTGGAATCTTGGGGCTCCATCTCTTCGGCCCCAAGACGGAGGTTCTTGATCCGTTAAAGTGGCCCAGTCCCCTGGGAGGGAAGTTGGAGACTACCCGTTCACGGTGTGTTTCTTGGGCCGTGTGTGCTGAGAACAGGACCTCGTTCTGGGCGTCCCCCGAGCACCCTGGAGCCCAGCCGCCCGGCTTGAGGGGGACTCCGTGACACAGGCACGCACGTGTCCCGGCACGCTCAGCGACCGTGGCCAACCTCCCCTGGGGAGGAAGGGGGGGAAACGGAGCCAGGTGCTTCTTGTGGGAGGCGGTGGCGGGCAACCCCGGCCTGCAGGTGGGGAGAGGACGGGTGCGACAGCACATGCGGGTGCTGGTGTGTCCTTGAAGCAGCCCCGGGGGTCTGAGTTTTCTGATCGCGGTGGGACAGGTCTAGTTGCTGCGAGCAAGTGTCTCTGCTGTGCAGTCACTCGAGGGGGCCCTTTCCCCAGGGCGGCCGTGTCCACTAGGGGGCAGTGCGTGTCCAGGGCTATGTATGTGCTCTTGCTCAGCCTTCAGGGCTACACGCCCTGAGCATCCTCTCTGGAAAGGGCCTGCTTGGGTCGTCAGTGGCCCTGGGTTGCTGAGCTGTGGCTTGAGCCGGACAAACACGGTGACACTTTCTGGCCACACAGACCCGTTCATCTCAGCGAGGAGGCTGGGGGCTCACGGGGACTCAGCCCTCCGGGCCGTCTCTCAGCCCCTGGCATGTGTGTCTCCTCTCTCCTCTGGATGTTTGCCTGTCGTTGGCACGAGGCAGCCAGAGAGCTGCTCGCTGCAACATTGACGACTTCTGGGAAGCCAGGTTGGGTGTTTCATTCTTCCCGACTGGAGCGACACGGTGCTTTCTGAGGGTTTTACGGGTGTCTGCAATTCAGCTCATGGGAAACTCAGTTCTCACATGGTCACGGTTTTCCTTGGGACTTGGTTCTCACGTGGTCACGGTTTTCCTCAGGACTAGGTTCTCATGCGGTCATGGTTTTCCTCAGGAGCCGTGTCTCCCAGTGTTTTGTGGTCCCAGTGTGGAGGATTCAACTGAGGGAGAGCACGGGAGTCCATCCTTCAATGCGTGTGGACAATGCTTAGTTGACTGAAACCCTCAGACGCTTTCCTTTTGTTTTCTTACTTGCTGCCTTTCTTCCCAGAGCTCAGAGCTGGCCTATTTTTCACTGCTTCTGTGCAGAAAGGAAGGCGGGGGGTCTTTCCGTGAGGTATGTTTTGTTGGGTGTCACAAGGCTTCAAGGTTGTCAACACTCAGAGGACGTGAGAGGAGGGAAATCTGCTCCGTTCCTCCTCAGTTGGGAGGCGCCTGGGTCTCTGGGAAACGCACATATGGAAACACTCATCTGCGTGTGGAGATGGTGGCAGGAGCGAATGCTCTCTGGCGAGGCTGTTTGTGTTTCAGCCCTGGAGTGTGGCGTCTCAGGCTGATCTCACAGGGCGCTTCTCACGGCCTGATGGATTCTGCCGTGGGCTTCTCTGCTGCGGCGTTTAGACTCTTTCTGATGGAGGGAGCTGGGACGTGCACGCAGACCCCCGGACTGCACACCACAGGTGGCCGACCCCATGCCTGGCCGTGACGTCAGCCCTCCACCTGGCCAGCCCTCCAGATGCTTCTTTTCACTGGCACAAGGAGGGCAGTGATGATGTTTTGAATCCAGACAGGATCCCTTTGTTTAACGTTGACCAAGAGTGATGAAGAACGTTTGTAAACATGGTGATCTCGGATTAAGAGGCTGCGGCGGGCTTTACCCGGAATCCCAGCTGGTCCCGTGCTGTGTGTGTGCTGTTGCCTCCAGCTGTGGGTCCTTGCTCCCCGCCCTTCCCTTTTGCGGTGTTGTTGACTCCCTGGTGGGCGTCTCTTCCTTGCCAACAGCTGAGACTCTCACGCGGTCCTCCTACTTCCTGCTGGAGTCTCCCTTGCCAACTCTGTCCCTTCCTTGTCCATCCCTTGGGGACCGCTGCCCGCTGACCTCCCGAGAGTTGTCGAGTGGCCCCCGAGGCTGTGTCTTTGACGTGTGTGCCCACCATGCCCCGGGAAAGGCGCACCCGTGGCCCCTCAGGATGGAGGCCTTTCTCCGCAGTTGAGTCTCTCATCTGCACGTCGCAGCTGGAAGTGCCCTTCGCACAGGCAGGCGTCTGAGCTCCTGAGGCAGATGGACGAGGCCTCGTGGGCTTGGGGTCACTTGTCCTCACCAGGGCAGCCCTCCCCTGTGGACACCCCAGCCGTGTGCAAGCACACTCTGTGTCCGGAGGCCCCTTCCCCTCTGCCCAGAAGGGGGGCGTTTGCCCCTAGAGGGGGAGGGACTGAGGGATGGGCTGAGGGCCGGACTGGGACCGGCCCCGCTGCTGTCAAGCCCAGGAGGGAGAGTCCCCCGCTTACTGCCTCCCCTGACCTCCCTTTCCTGTGTTCCCTCCAAAGCCGCTCCTATTTTTGTCTCTAATTTGATACCGAAATACCCTGGTTGGCGGCTGGGAAACAGAATCCAGGCAGGGCCAGATTCCCACCGCTCAGCTCTGGACAGACCCACATGGGTCCCTGCACTGTCTGCCTGGGCCCCGCTCCCCCAAGGCCACCACCCTCCTGCGGCCGGGCGACCACGTCCAAAGGGGAAGTTCCGGCCCCTAGGGGCAGTTGGCCGCGCCCCTCATGGGTGCCCCTGCACTGGCTCATGTCTTTGGGCTTTCAGGTGATTTCCTTGGGCTGGATTCTCACTGGGGCAGCCACTAATACTTTTTTTTTCCTTTTGCTTTTTGGGTCATACCTGACGGTGCTCAGGGGTGACTCCTGGCTCTGAGCTTAGGAATCACTCCTGGCGGTGCTGGGGGGGCATATGGGATGCTGGGAATCAAACCCAGGTCGTCCGCATGCAAGGCAAACGCTCTACCCGCTGGACTGTCGCTCCAGCCCCCTCTAATGCCTTTAAGGTGCTTGTTCTAGAACAGTGGGATACCTGATTTTCACTCCTGCAGAGTGAGCGGGAGAGTCCAGCTGTCTCTGCCGTCCAAACACTGGCCTGGCAGCAGGGGGCGCCCAGAGAACCGACCGACCCACCGGCACTCCTGTTTGTGCAGTGTCCCCACTTCCCCGTAGGTCTCCTAAGCTCCTGACGCTAACCTGGAAAGGCCCGTCCCCCCACCCCCCTCGAGCTGCTGCCCCCACCTGACCGGGCTCCCGACGCGAGTGTGTCAGCCCAGAGCAACGCTGTCTCGCAGGAAATTCATCCCCGTCACTTGGCACTGTCAGAAGTGTGTGGTGACGCTCACAGCGCTGAGATTGGCATCTTCCTGGGCTATGGTCGGGGGTGTCCCGGCCGTGACCTGCTGCCCCAGACGCTTCCTTCTTGGGTTCGAGGGCTTCCTTGCCTGGCTCCTCCAGGTTTCCAGCCCCCCTTTCCCCCCTGCTCCCACCTCTGCTGGCCCCTCCCCCCCCCCCCCCCAGCCTTTGGAATTGTAACCCAGTTTGGTTTTGAGAGTGGAGCCATCCCAGCTCTCCTGAGAAACGGCAGCCGAGCCCCACGGGCCTGTTTCTGGTTGCGCCGAAACCCCACGCGTGGCCTTCCCTTGAGGCAGCGGCTCTGCTCGGGCCCCGTCTTTTGCTCTGTGTCTGTTTTGGGGGCCACACCCCAACGTGCTCAGGGGTCATTCCTGGCTCTGCACTCATGATCATCCCTGGCGGTGCTCGGGGATCCTATGGGATGCCGGGGATGGAACCCCAGTTGGCCACGGTGCAAGGCAAGCACCCTACCCACTGTGCTGTCTCTCCGGCCCCTGGGTCATATCTAGACTATCTCATCATCTTGTCTTCTTTGCTGATCTTTTGAATTGTTAATTGCATGGGACCTTCCAAGTGGGGTTCAGGAGGCCCCTGGGGCTTCCTCCTGGTGGTTCTCAGCCAACTGGGTGAGCTGTTCAACGTCACGGCCTGAGGGTGTGGTGCTACTCAGGCCAATAGTGCTTGGGGTGTCTTGAGGTTGCTCTGTGATCCTTAGGAAGCGGTTAGGGGTTGCTGTAAAGAACGGGGGCACAGGGGATCGAGTGATAGCAGAGCGGGAAGGGCATTTGCCTTGCATGCTGCCGGCTCGGGTTCAATTCTCAGCATCCCATATGGTCCCCTGAACACTGCCAGGAGTAATTCCTGAGTGCAGAGCCAGGAGTGACCCCTGAGCATCACTGGATGTGACCCAGAAAGCAAAAAAAGAAAAAAAGGAAGGAACAGCGTGTTTGGAAACCCGATTTGGGGGTGAGCGTGCGTCCCCGCTCATGTGCCACACCAGTGACAGTGACTTGATGTGGTTTGTCAGGCAGCCTCTGGCCGTGGCCAGAAGCCGTTCTTTGTGATTTCTAGAGATTTCTGGGTTGACACAGGAGCCTCTGCCCTGTGGGTCTGGGGGGGGCAGGGGTGGGCGGTCCCTGGAACCTACAGTTTCTACCTATGGAACAGGGCAGCCCCCTGAGGTTTGTAGCTTATGGAGAACCCACTTAAAAGAGGAAGCAGGGCCTCCTCGTGAACTGGGGGCTGGGGGAGGGGACAGTATCTCGAAGAGCCATGATAAAATGATAGAAAAATTATTTTCTAGGATTTCGCTCCCTGGTAGCACAGTGGGGAGGGTGCTTGCCTTGCACACGGCCGACCCAGGCTTGACCCCCAGCATCCCGTGTGGTCCCCCAGCACCGCCAGGAGGAATTTTGTTTTTGTTTTTGGGTCACACCTGTGGTGCTCAAGGCTTACTCGCAGGGGTCACTCGTGGTGGGGTCCTGGGGACCGTATGGGGTGTCAGGGATCCGAGCCACGTCCACCGTGTGCAAGGCAAATACCCTGCAGCTGTACTGTCGCTGGGACCCCCGGGAGTAATTCTTAGAGTCAGAGGCAGGAGTTGGTGCTGCCAGGTGGTGTGGGGGGCTCTGGACGCTTCACTCTCCTCCACGGGTCTCTGAGCCCCTCTGGGAAGATCTTCCCGTTTCCTCTGGCCTCGGGGCAGCCTGAGGCCTCAGAAGCAGACGGACTTTGTCCTCCTGGAATCCGGCCTGCCTCGGAGAACACATCGTGGCTGAAAATAAATAGATTTTGCCATGTGTGACCTTTTATGGGGATCCTTGAGGTGAAGGCAGGGCCGGCCGTTGACAAGAGTTTACAGTTTTCAGCTTTATTTTCCTCCATTGCCTGTTCATGACTGTGGAAACTCCCACCCCTGCGGGCAGGCTGGAACATCCTGGGGTGTGACTGGGGGTCCGATGCGGACGCAGGGGATGGTGCCCACCCTCCAGGAGGCCTCTCGCCGTCAGGGGGACCCGGGCTTGTTCGAGGCTGTTTTTCTGCCTTTTCCTCGAGACCATGGGGTGGGGGGGCATAGGTCCTCTGTGGGCCCCTCAGGGTATGTCATGGGTGGGGGGCACAGGGAAATCAGGCCAGAAGAGCCCAGCAGGGGACTTGGGGGCACCCTGGGGTGAGGGTGAGGGGCACCAGAGGGCGGCGAGGTCAGAAGTGGATCCCAGCAGGAGGAAGGTTGAAAAATGTGGGTCTAGAAGGTGAACTCCGGAACTGGGGGGCTTGGGGGTCTCGTTCATGCCAGTGATGTGAGTGGCGCTTTGGCCGGGAGCCGAGTCCTGCCTATAGTGTGTTTGTGAGTGCGTGACCCCAAACTGGGGGCCGCTTCCGGGAATGGTAACAGGAAAACACCCCCAGCCTGGCTTGCCCAGGCATCTCTGGGCCCACCAGAAACTCTTCCCTAAATGGAGGGAGTTCGTTCTTAGGGGCCGCGTCTCGTAGTTTCCTAAGTGCAGGGGGAGACGGAAGTCATCCTTCTGCGTGTGGGTGTCGCGCCAGCGTCGGACCCGCCGGGCACCCGGAATGTGGGTGCGGGTGTGTTTGGGGCGGGTCTCAGCCTGGGGCGTTGGGCTACACTGGCGGACGTGGGCGCTCCTCGTGAATCGAGTCATTTGTAATCGAGTTGACTCATCAGGTTCCGAGACCCCCAGCCCTGCACCCTCACTGCCTCCTTTGATACGCCAATAAACGTTCACCCTCACTTAGAAGTCCAGACCGCAAGCCCAGACAGAGATCTCATGATGCGCGTCGGGTGTGTGTCTTCCTTCCTCCGCGCAGCTGCCGTGGGCTGCCCTGGGCTTAGGAGGGGCTTTTGGAGCCCCCTGGCTGGGGAGCCGCTCCATGACTCGAGGGTCTGGCCTGGTGCTGGGCACGGCCAGGGGGACTGTGGGGGCTGCTCGTGGGCTTCTCCAAGAGGCTGCAGAGTGGTCGGGGGCGAACCTCTGCCTCCTGCTCTCCCTGCCCACCAGGTCCCCGAGAGCCCTGTCTCATTTCTCTCTCCCTCGGGTGACCTGTGGTCCCGGCACCCGGTGCTCCGTGCTGAGCCCCACTTGGCTTGAGGCCCCGGTGAGACCTTTTCCTGTGTGTGTCCTGTCTCCCGGCCACTGCCGGTGGCCATGCTCGTGCCAGGGTCCCAGACTGGCCACGCAGTTCCCCTGCAGCCGCTTCTTCCCGGGAGCTGGACATGCCGGCCGGGTGGGGGGTGTGGGTGAGGCTGCGTCTCCGTGACCTGTCTGAGCAGCTCCTGTCCAGGACAGTTCTGGGGCTCCCGGGCTCAGGCTCCTGTGTGAGCCAAGTCCCCGTGTGAGGTCGGATGGTCCTGGCACCGGCTGATCGAGTGGCCAGTTTCCCTCCATGCTTCTCTCTGCGTTTCAGTCCACACAGCCTGGTGCCCTTTAGGAAATGCCCGAAGATGCCCACAGGGAAAGCTGCAGATGGTGGCTGCCCTGCGGGGTGGGTGCGATCTTGTTTGATTTATTTATTACTGCTTTGAGGCCACACCCGGGGGGTGCTCAAAGGTTCCTCTTGGCTCTGCACTCAGAAATCACTCCTGGCGGTGCTCGGGTGACCATGTGCAGTGCCAGGGATCGAACCTGGGCCAGTTGGGTCCACAGCACTCTCCACTGTCCTGTTACTCTGGCCCTTGCTTGGGTGGACGTGACTCAGAGCGGGGGGTCTGAGCTTCACGTGCTGGAGCCCAGGGTTGGTTCCCGGCAGCATCGAGTCTCCAGAGTACCACAGGGTGTGGCCCCGACACCCAGGAAACACCCCCTGGAATGTTACGATCATCCCCTCCCCCGTCACGGCTGTTGGGATGAGTGGGGTCTGCGCACACGCCTGCTTACTGGCGCCCACGGCATTTAGCCCTGCTGCTCTTTGGGGCCGCTGCCCCGGGGTTGCAGTCCCTTAGTGGTGGTGCTCCCCGGGGGCCAGAGTCCCTTGGTGGCGGTGCTCCCTGGGGGCTACAGTCCCCCATGGTGGTGCTCCTGGGTCACAGTTCCTCATGGCAGTGCTCCCTGGGTCAGAGTCCCTAAGTGGTGGTGCTCCCTGGGCCACAGTCCCTTGTGGTAGTGGGAAGGGGAAAGATGACGGCATCCGTGGACTCCGGGTCCTGAGCAGGCGGACGTTGATGCCGCCACTCATTTATCATCCGGACCAACTCAGAATTCTCCCTTCTGAAATAAGCCTGGAGGGCCAGAGCAATAGTACAGCAGGCAGGGCTCTGCCTCGTACACGGCCGACCCAGGTTCCACCCCCGGCACCCCCTAGGGTCCCCAGAGCCTGCCAGGTGTGACCCCTGAGCACAGAGCAAGAGTAAGCCCCGAGCACCACCGGCAGTGGCCCCTGGGCCACAGTCCCTTGTGGTAGTGCTCCCGGGTGATAGTACCTTGTGGTGATGCTCCCTGGGTCACAGTCCCTCCTGGCGGTTCTAGCAAGTGGCAGCCAGGCCCGTCCTTCCCAACGGGGACACGGCATCTTTTTCATCTCTGTGCTTGCAGGGGTCGCGCCCCCTTTGCTGGCTGCGGTGGCATTGGGGAGGGTACTTTGGGGCCCCAGGCAGCAGAGCCGTGGGCCATGCCGGAGTCCCTTGGGGCAGGGGATGGCCCTGGGCCCAGCTCACGGCTTCTGCTCCCGGCAGCTGTTCAGGCCCCCGAGCTCTCCCGGCGCCCTGAGGTGGTCACTGACTGGCGCGCGTGTCTCTCGGTCCCCAGGTGGCCCCCAACGACGAGGCGGTGGTGACGCTGCTGTGCGAGTGGGCCGTGAGCTGCAAGCGCTCGGGCAAGCACCGGGCCATGGCGGTGGCCAGGCTGCTGGAGAAGCGGCAGGCGGAGATCGAGGCCGAGGTGGGTCCCGGCAGGGCTGTCCAGGGCGGCAGGTGAAAGTGTGTGTGTGCGCGCGCGCGCGCGCGCGCGCGTATGTGTGCGTGTGTGTATGTGTATGCGTGCGTTTGTGTGTATGTGTACGTGTGTATGTTTGTGTGTACACGTGTATGCACATGTTTGTGTGTGTACATGTTTGTGTGTCTCTTTGTGTTTGTGTATGTGCTTGTGTGTATGTATGTGTGTTTGTATATGTGTGTGTTTCTATGTGTCTGTGTGTGTGTGGGGGGTGACTTCTGTTTTTTTTGTTTTGTTTTGTTTTTATTTTTGGAGTCACACCCGGCGATGCTCAGGGCATACTCCTGGCTCTGTACTCCTGGTGGTGCTTGGAGGACCCTATGGGATGCCGAGGGAACCCGCTCGGCCGTGTGCAAGGCAGACGTCCTCCAGCTGTCCCGTCTCCAGCCTGGCTTCTGCTTTCTGGCCCTTGCTCTCCTCTGAGTGCCGTTTTCCTGGAAGGGGAAGGATGACGGCATCCGTGGACTCCGGGTCCTGAGCAGGCGGGCGTTGATGCCGCCACTCATTTATCATCCGGACCAACTCAGAATTCTCCCTTCTGAAATAAGCCTGGAGGGCCAGAGCGATAGTACAGCAGGCAGGGCTTTGCCTCGTACACGGCCGACCCAGGTTCCATCCCCGGCACCTCCTAGGGTCCCCAGAGCCTGCCAGGTGTGACCCCTGAGCACAGAGCAAGAGTAAGCCCCGAGCACCACCGGCAGTGGCCCCAGAACCGGAACCAACACGACAAATTCTGAGACTTGACTTCAGACGAAGAAATCCCCCTCTTTGCATCTGTGAAACACACACAGGCACACACACACACACACATGCTCACTTACACACGCGCACAAACAAACAAGCACACACACATATGCACACAAACATGCACACACACGCATACACGCACACACATACGCACACACACACACTCGTATGACATGTGTGAGCACCTGTCTGTGACCAGCCAGCCTTTAGGAAGGTGAACTTTGCCACCACACGGCAGGGGTCCTCCACACGGGCAGCTTTTCTCAGCCGTGCCACTTGTCTCCCTTCCTGGGTGGGCTGCTGGGTGCCCACCCCCTGCTCCAGCAGTGACCCCGGAAAGCTGGCTCCGTGTTGGGCCCCCAAAAGTGCTCTGCGCTCAGAAGGGGTCCCTGCAGGAGCGTGTGAGCTCTCAGCTGCCGTCTCTTCCCGCTGGTGCTGCCGTCTGCGGGGCTGTGACAGTCCTCAACACCCCTGGCCTCCTGTCGGGGAAAGTTCTGCTCCCCAGGCGCGGAGAACCCATGTTGAGCCAGGGCTTGAGGACCCATTGCTGGGCTGGACCCCACAGTCCACTTGCCCAGGTGTGGATAGAGGCGTCTCACTGCTTCTCCAGCGTGGACAGACCATTGTACGGCAAACTACACTGAAGGAATGCAGTGCTGGACCTCACTGCTCCTGAATTGTCGCTGTCCTCTCCAACCCCTGGCAAGTCTAAGATACACACTCAGACACACACTTTGTTCTCTTTCTCCTCTCTCCTTTCCTTTCCTTTCCTTTCCTTTCCTTTCCTTTCCTTTCCTTTCCTTTCCTTTCTGTTCCTTTCCTTTCCTTTTTTCTTTCTTTTTTTTCTTTTCTTTTTGGATCAAACACAGTGATGCTCAGAGTTTACTCCTGGCTCTGCACTCAGGAATTATTCCTGGTGGTGCTCAGGGGACCCTGTGGGATGCTGGGAATCGAACCCGGGTCGGCCACGTGCAAGGCAAATGTCCTCTCCACTGTGCTGTCGCTCCAGCACCCCCTCCATCTCCTTTCCAGAAGAGGTTCACATGCAGATTACTGTATATTTTTGATCCACGTAAATATGTTCGTACCAAAAAAAATGTATTTTCTCAGGTCAGCGATTTCTGTTGAACATCTTCATTTGCAAAATGAGACCTTTGCAGGGAAAAGGGCCAGGTGGGAAGAGTAATGTCCTCGCAGGATCATTACTTACTGTCCACGCGTGGCTAATGAGTGGGAAGGAAGCAGAGGGCTCTCGGGGGGAGCAGAGAAGCGTGAGGCTCTGGTGGGTTTGAGCTTTTCCTTTCCTTTCCTTGTAATTTCTGACTTTGAGAACGAGGAAGTTCAGCACATCTCTGGATGCGTTTCATGAACTGTGGGGTGGAGAGCAGTTCCAGGGTGCTGGTCTGGAGCTGTGATGAGTAAGCAAAAGGCTCTTACGAGAGGGATGAGAGGATCCTATTAGAAGAATTACGGTAGCGTTCTTCCACATCACCCCAGACTTTCCAGAAGATTCTCTTAAATAGTCACCTGTCTGAAAAATACACCCATGGACTCTGACTCAGTAACGTATGCCCAGAGATTTCTCAGAGTGTTCTGTGAAATGGGAGTTGCTTAAAAATAAATCGCGGGGGATGGAGTGTTAGTACCCGTGGGAGGGCGTTTGCCTTGCATGCAGACAACCTGGGTTTGATCCCCGGCATCCCATATGGTCCCCCCGAGCACCGCCAGGAGTAATTCCTGAGTGCAGAGCCAGGAGTAGCCCCGGAGCCTTGCTGGGTGTGACCCCAAAAACACTGTAGCACTTTTTTCCTATTCATCGATTTGCTCCAGCAGGCACCAGTAACGTCTCCATTGTGAGATTTGTTGTTATTGTTTTTGGCAAATCGAATACGCCACAGGGAGCTTGCCAGGCTTTGCCATGCGGGTGGGATACTCTCAGTAGCTTGCCGGGCTCTCCAAGAGGGACAGAGGAATCGAACCTGGGTGGGCTGCATGCAAGGCAGACGTCCCACCCGCTGTTCTGTTGCTCCAGCGATAGCGTCTTGGTGTGACGCAAAAAAGCAAACATAAATCGATCCATTAGTCAATCAATGACATGCTTTTTAGCAGCTTTGCGAAGGGATCCTGAGAAGCTCATTGTCATTTTGCCGTTTTCTAACTAACTGGTTCCTTCGTTGAGCCCAGCAAGCTGCCGTTCACTCAGGGACTGTTTCTCATCCACAGTCTTTAAACCACGGGGCATGTTCTGGGCCAGTTTCTCCAGCTTTTAGAAATGCTAGTGAGGACAGAGCCCTCAGGGGGGCCAGAGTCTGCCCTGGTCCAGCGTGTCGTGTCTGAGAAGCTGCGCGGGGACAGAAGCTACTGAGCCTCCATTTCCAGGACGCCCGCCCTGATAACTGTGCTTGTTTATTTCCAACCGCAGAGATGCGGTGAGTCCGAGGTCTTAGACGAGAAGGAGTCCATCTCTTCAGCCTCGCTCACTGGATCGAGTCTGCCCGTTTTCCAGAATGTTCTACTGAGGTTTCTAGATACGCAGGCCCCCTCACTGTGTAAGTCAAAGCTTTTAGCTTTTTAAATAGTTGACACTACATAGGGGAACGGATTCATTTTCTTTTTCCCTTGCATGTTATCAAATATACTTGGCATGAATACAATGTATATTTTACGGAGCAAAGTGGTTTATTTGGGGGTGGGGTTTGGGGGCCATACCGGTAATGTTCAGAGGTCACTCCTGGCTGTGCGCTCAGGAATCACTCTTGGTGGTGCTTGGGATTATCTGGGATGCTGGGGATCGAGCCTGGGTCGGCCGCGTGCACCTGAAGTGCCCTCCCGTGATACTATTGCTCCAGCCGCTGAGCAAAGTTTTTGTAGCATGCTTTCAATGAGAACATTAATTCAGTTTTAAAATCAGGCAAGTTTTTAAAGGTTCTTCCCCCATTTCCCCCATGACCGAAGCACCAAAAAATGATCTGGGAGCTAGCTAAGGGCTGGGCATAGGGTCAACGTGCAGGCGGCTCCGGGGTCCCCCCAGCACCTCCAGATTCCCCCCTGACCCCAGCACCACACCTGGAGTAGCTGCCATGTACTCCGGGGCCTTCCACAATAAATAAATAAACAAAGTGCCAGAATGCTAGAACCTGTCCCTAGGTCACATCTGCCCCGTCCTCCCCACCCCACACTCCTGCTGGGGACCCTCAGCTCTGTGGTCAGGGACCAGGAGTGTGTTTCTTTGCCCATCTCCCACTCTCTGTGCCCCGCAGGAGTGAGGATGTCCGGCATCTGTCCTCCTCCCTCTGACTTGTTCCACTTGGCAGCCGCGGCTAGGGCATGTGCTTTGTGGCAGGAGGCCCGGTACCACCTGTGCCAGCTGGCTGCCTGATGTCTGCCAAGAGGGACCCCCAGCGCCGCCGGGCTGGAGTAGCCCCTGGGCATTGCAGGGGTATTCCCAAATCCACTCCAATCCAAACAACAGGGAGACCCTCTAGTTCCATTCCAGATGCAGCAGGAGGCGAGATCTGACAATGCCTCAGAGCAGAGCCGTTCGGCTGTGGGTACAAGCCGCATCTGCTCAGCCGCTCGCCTGTGGTCGGGCATTTGGTTGGTTTCCAGATCTTGGCCATTGCAAGGAAGCACTGCATAGAGCACCCGCTTGTGTGCAGCTGTGTGTGTGTGTTTGGGGGCCACACCCAGCGGTGCTCAGGGTTTACACTCTGCTCTGTGCTCGGGGATCACTCTGGCCGGGCTGAGAACCATTTGAGGTGCCAAGGATGGAACCCGGGTCAGCCACCAGTGAACCAGCGAGCTCTGTCTTTCCGTTTTCTGTTAGCCTGAAATTCTGGTATTTGCCTGACTGCTGGAATGGTGCTCCTTTGCCAGGGACCATTGCATTCAGACTTGAAATGGGGCTTAGCCTGGGGAGGTTCTGCAGCGGGGAGGGTGTTTGCCTCGCGCTTGGCCAACCCGGGATCGATCCCTGGCATTCCATATGGCCCCCGATCTCTGCCCAGGAATGATCCCTGAGCTCAGAGCCAGGAGTCAGTCCCCCTGAGCATTGTTGGGTGTGGCCCTGATCATAAACAAAACAGAACAGAAAAAGAAATGTAGAGATAGAGTCAAAATCTTCAAGCCAGTTCTCTTTTTCTTCCCTGAGGGGGGCTCAGGGGAGTGTCCTCTGGGTCCTCCCATGCAGGGGGTCCTGCGGGCACTGGGGGTCACTTGTGGTGGTTCTCAGCCAGCTGGGCTGGGTGGCTCAGAGCTCAGCTCCAGCCCAGCGATGCTGGGGGCTGTCACGTCTTGCTGGGGACCAAGCCTGGGGCCTCGTGCGTGTCGGGCATGTGCTGCAGCACCCCCGAGCGTCTCCCCGACCCCCACCCCGCGGCCCCAGCAGCGCCTCCTTTCGGGGGACCCCGCTCTCACCCGTCCGGCTCTCTCGGCAGCGGACCCCGACAGCGAGTGTGAGAAGGTGGAGTTTGTGAACCTGGTGCTGCTCTTCTGTGAGTTCATCCGCCACGACGTCTTCTCACACGACGCCTACATGTGCACCCTCATCTCCCGGGGGGACCTGTCCGTCACTGCCTCCACGCGGCCCAGGTCACCGGCCGGAGACCACGCGGACGAGCATTACCCTAAGGACCATGAGGTGAAAATGGAGGTATGTCCCCAAGTGGGGGAGGGGCACACATGCATGCACACACACACACACACACACACACACATGCACACATGAGTGCACGTACACACATGCACGCATACATACACACATGCACACACGCATGCATGCACACACATACATACACACACACACGCAGATGCACACCCACAAGTATGCACGTGCACACACACATGCACACACGCATGCACACACGCAGGCTGCATACACACATGCACGCGCACACACATGCACGCACACACACATGCGCACACAGCCTGTCTTGCTGTCCTGGAAATTGGGGCTGCCGGTGACGGCTTTGCGTTTGGGAATCCTCCCAGCAGACTGTCCCTGTTTTTTTGTTCTCTCGAGCATGTGCACAGTCACTTATGTATTACAGAACTTTCCTTGGGAACTTAAAACTTTTGTTCTGTGAGGTTGCTCTGGGTACCCGGGAGCACTGTGGCTTGAATCCAGAGCTCCGGCCCCATGGCCCTTAGAGCTGTTGTAGGCTCTGCAGGGAATGACCTGCCGGGACACCCCCTCATGTCTGGTTGACACGTTTCCAGCTTTGAGGCATTTCTCGGCTCGGTTTCTGTTCCTGCCCCTCAGGGCTGGGCTTGCTTCCTCCTAAGTCCCAGGCTGAGTTTTCTTTGCAAAGACCCTCTTTGCCCCACTCTGTCATCGGCTCCTTACACCTCCCTCCTGTGTGCAACAGGAAGTTATGCTTTCGTTTATCTGTTTGTTTTTGTTTTTTGGCTGGGAGGGACACACCCGTGGTGCTTAGGGCTGACTCGGGGCTCAGAGGTCAGGGATCATTCCTGGAGGGGCTCTGCAGACCCTCCAGTCTGCGGGCGATGGCACCCGTGTCAGCTGCATGAGAGACAAGTGTCCTACCCATGGTGTTCTCTCTCCAGCTCATTTGTTTTTAGTCAGGAACTTTGTATGCTGTTCCTTTAAGATATCCTGAAAGTTAAGTCATCATCCTTGTCATGAGGACAAAGAAACTGTCCTAAAAGTTTTCCCTTTTCTCTTTTGGAGGGAAAGGGCAGACTTGCAAGGTGGTTAAAAAAAAAGTTACAGTCAGGGGCCGGAGAGATAGTCCAGTGGGCAGAGCACCAGCCATGCCCTTGGATTCTCCAGGCTCGATCCCCAGCACCCCACAGGGTCCCCTGAGCCCCTCCGGGAGTGATCCCTGAGCACAGAGCCAGGAGCACCGCTGGCCATGGCCCCCCAACAAACAGAATTGCCGTAGTCGTGTTCCAGCATGTCTCTCTCGCCGATGGGTCATGCGTGTGGCTCTGTCCTGCCAGGAGCCGGCCATCATGGCGCACATGGGCCTGGACTCGGGCGCCGCCAGCGTCTTTGAGGAAGTGGACAAGGGCGACTTCAAAGCGGACTTTGGCTCGGAGTTTCCAGTAGGTTCCACCTTGAGATTCTCACTGTTGTGTCCCCTCCCTCCCATGCTCCCGCCCCCCTGCCTCCTGACCCCCGTCTCCCCACCCCCTCCCCGCCCTCCCCCGGCTGCTGCACCCCTCGTCCTCAGGTGCCCTCAGCTGGGAGGCAACCGCTTTCCCGCCTCTGGGCTTGGTGTGGCCTCTGCCTGTCCTCTGCCCCCACCGCTGATCCTCTGCGTGGGTCCCAGTGCCTGACTCCAGATTTGAAAATGGGGTCAAGGTCAAACTTTCATTATGCCCATGATTCCTTAGTTTCATATTTTGGGGGGGGGCAGTGAGGAGGCTTTTTGTGTCACACCTGGCAACATTCAGGGGTTCCACCTGGCTCTGCACTCAGGAATCCCTCCTGGCGATGCCGGGGATCGAGCCCAGGTTGGCCGTGTGCCAGGCCAATGCCTTACCCACTGGACTGTCACTCCGGCCCTACTTCCATTATTAAACTTCCTCTTGTTTTAGGCGCATTAGACCTTGGTGGCAAGGCCTTATCTGTGGTCTGAGGCCGGGTCCTTTGGGCAGTGGGGGTGTGGTGGCTGTGTTCTTCTTTCATTTTTGGGGGGGTGCGTATAGGAGGGGGCCGGATATGGGTCACTCCTGGCAGGACCCAGAGGACCGTATGGTGCCCAGGACGAAACTGGGGTCCCTCCTGGGCAAGGCCGGTGCCTTCCACGTGTCCTGTCTCTCTGGCCCCACGTGATCTGCTTTCAAAGTTGGGATTAAGCGACCAGAGAGTTCCCCAGCCGGAGGAGATGCATGTGGAGGGGATGTCGCTTTCCATGGTTCTACTGGATGGCTTGTGTGTGTGCGTGTGTGCGTGTGCGCGCGCACGCGTGTGTGAGCATGCACGCGTATGTGCTTGTGTGCACGCGTGCGTATGTGTGTGTATGTGTGTGTGCGCACACGTGTGTGTGTGCGCATGTGTCTGGTGTGTTGGGGGCAGGCTCCGGCCTTTAGAAGCGGGCGGGGGGCGGCCGTGCCCCGTTCATTTACAGTCTCCACCGTGTGTTTTACATGACCCAGATGTTCTCTCCCATGGCCGGAGAGCCCTGTGAGACGGTCAGCCCTGCCCTGGGCCGGCGGGTGTCGGTGAACGGGGAGAAGCTGCTGAAGCGGGAGAAGCCGCGGGAGCTGATCTTCCCGTCCAACTACGACCTCCTGCGGCACCTGCAGTATGCCACGCACTTCCCCATCCCGCTGGTAAGTGGTGGCGGGCGGAGTCCGTGCGCTCCTCCGGCTCCCGTGCCGTGCTGATGTCCTGCCCCAGCTGAGGGGGCGGCGCTGCCACCCGCTCGCCTCCGTGGAAGTGTCTCTGTTCGCGTCGGTTTCTCGGGAGCGTTTGATGGCTGTTTGCCCCAGTGACAAGCGCGCTGTCTGGAGCGGGTTTCGGCGTACTGTATCACGCAAGGGGAGGGGTCTGCAGGAGACAGAGGTCCTGGCAGGTAGAGGCAGTGGGAGGATCCAGATGTGGAATCCCGAGCTGCGTCCGCTCCAGAGAGGGATCGAATTAGCACGAGGGAGGGTGAGCACTCAGGGGAACTGTGTGTCCTGTGCCGGGAAACTGCCGCCTGAGGTTGGTCTCGGGGCTAGGGTCTGGCCCGGTGCGGTTACCAGCACCTAGGAACTACCTAGGGTAGAGTCGTAGTTTCAACAGAACAGGCCCCGGGCATCACTCACAAGGGAAAACGTTTATTTTTTGTGAAAATTTTAAAAATTGGATCCAAGACTTTAAAAAAAAAAAGGCGGGGGGGGGGGCAGAAGCGTTAGCACAGCAGGTAGGGTGTTTGCCTTGCACACGGCCAGCCCGGGTTCAATTCCCAGCATCTCATATGGCCCCCCGAGCACCGCCAGGAGTGATTCCTGAGTGCATGAGCCAGGAGTAACCCCTGTGCATGGCCGAGTGTGACGCAAAAAAAAAAAAAAAAACTTGATCTTTCATTTATTTATTTATTTATTTTTGGTGTTGCCAGGGAGCAAAGAAATGTTCTTGTTTTCATTCGCCGAGTCACTGTTTCATTTTCCTCTGGAATTTTATTTCAAGTGTAATTGATTGAGGTTTCTTTTCCTCCAATTCTGTGATGCATGTTATTACCCAAACTGTTGCCGTGAAGTTGTTATTTCCTGGGTATCTCTGAGGAATTTTGATCTGCGCCCTGAATGTTTTCTTCCGTTCATTCACATTTGTGCAGTCGCATGTTTAATTCTGCCCAGGGGATCCTTTCCATGGGTGGCCACAGGGAGGGTTGGACCAAAGGGCGGTGGCCCTGAGAGCAGGGGTCACCCAGCCTTGACTGTCCAACTCAGTGTCCAGCAGCTGAGCAGCACTGGCCAGCTTACCAGGCCTCGGTCTGTGGAGACCCGCTCTCGTCGACTGTCGGAGTTCTGATTTTTCTGTATTTCAGTGTTCTGTTTGCTTTGTTTTCTTCAATGGGTCTATTTTAAAGCCGTTTGACTGGTGTTCTGTTTCCATATCTACCATGGGAATTTTTTTGTTCCCAAACAGTAGTTGAAGCAGTGAGTATGACTCAACACTTGCCCTGAAAGTGATGCAGGATCCACTTCATACTGTGAAACAAGGGGCCTGGGGGAGAGCTCTGGGTGCATAGGAAGAAGGTCAGCGCCAGGCCCGCCTGCAGCCCCTGCCAGGCTGTGCTACCTCCCAGCCCCATGCCTAGCGGGTCTGTGCTCCCTGCCAGTTCCGTGCCAGGCCCACGTAAGCCCCTGCCGGTCTCTGCCTCCTGCCAGTTCTGTGACCATCAGGGCAGCTCCCAGCAGCGGGACTGACCCACCTCGGGCCTGGGTGCAGCCTCTGGACCCCTCTGGACACTACTTGGGGATTCTCCCACCCCATTCTAAAATAAAAAGCACTGAAGTAGCTGTTTCTCCTCACAGAGAATTTTATTTATAGACATCATTGATTATAAATAGCGATTGTACATTTAAAACCACCCATGTATTCCAATGCCTTTTCAAAAGCAAAACAATTCCGTTGCGTTAGACCGTGATTAGATGTTAAGATCTAGAGGAGGAGGAGGAGGAGAGAAATGGACTCAGGGCCACATCTGGTGGTGCCCAGTTCCGTGACCAACTTGGTGGGGTGTGGAGCAGCGTGACAAACACTGGTGCAGGTAAGACCCGACCTTGCAAAACAAGCAAAGCCTCACAAGAGGGAGCACCTGGGCAAAGTTGGCACGAACAGGGTGTCAGCCAGTACCAGGTGTTCGGCCTTGAACCTCCCTCGACACCCCCCCCCCCCCCCCCCCATCATATGAGCCCTAGACGCAGAAACTGTCGAGTATGCTTAGCAGTCATCCTAACTGCAGCATCTGGCCTTGACTGGGATTGGGCCGGGGCAAGGCAGAGTTGGAGAGGCGATAGGCCAGGAATGATAAACTCTCTGTGACTGGACTGTCCCCTTAAGCCGAGACCCCCTATCAAATCTCTGCGTATCTGGCAATGAAGTGAACAGCCATGAGCTGCTCCCGGAGGGTGTTTCTCCGTGCGCCCTCATCCTTCACCCTACGTCTGCCCGGACGCGGTGCACAACGTGTCCAGGCACCGTCGGCACGAAAACTGTTCCCCAACAGTGGGGCTGTGTGGGGCCAAGGATTGAATGAGCGCCTCCTGCGTGCCCGGCAGCCTCTCATCCCCTGGGCGCTCTGTCTCGCCCGGGAGCGGCTCAGCTCTGGGGAAATGAATTTGGATTGATCAGTTGGGGCTTGGCAGCGGTTCGGGTGGTGTGTGCAGACTGGCCTGTTGCCGAGGTCACAGAACCAGCATCTCTCCAGCACCCCCTACCTACTGCCTGCTGTGCCTCTTCTAAAAATTCAGGCTCCGGGATAGTTTTCTGTATTAAAAAAAAGAAAAGAAAAGAAAAAAGTTTTTCTAAGTCACCCGCCAAGGTCTTTAAGCTATGTTTCTAAGACTTTCTGACGTTCAGCTTTGAGATTCTTTTGCATCTTTCTGTCCAGAAGTCAGTGGGAGGGGCAGTACTTCCGTGTCCGTCTGAGATGCCATTTCAAGGTTGAGATCATTGCCGAGTTTCACATGGGTTCAGCAGGACTCTCTGAGTGTGTGTGTGTGTGTGTGTGTGTGTGTACATGCATGCACACACATGCACGTGTGCAAATTTTACCACAGTGACGGGCTTAGTAAGTGACTTGCCTTGAGGAACCGGAGGCAAGTCACTTTCTAAGTCAGCCTGCCCCACTCCCCCCGCCCCCAGCCGCACAGGGCACGTGTCCACCTCCTTCCTCAGCTGTGCTGGGCATTCTCTGACCGCCCAGCCCACTCCTGCTCACTGTGTTCCTTACGTCGAGGGGAGAAGGCTTAGCAGGCGCTGACAGCGGTCCCCTCTGTGTGGGGGGCGTTGCTTCCGCCACCGGGCGTTTCCTTCTGCGCCTGGGAGGCGAAGGTCTGGGTGACCTTCGCGCGGAAGGCCTTCGAGAGGTGGTAGTACAGGATGGGGTCCAGACACAGGTTGGACACGGCCAGGAGCAGCGTGGCCTCCTTGGCGCGGTAGAGCAGGGCTCTGGAGGCACAGTCGGAGATGAGCTCCACCTGGCTGAGGGTGTAGGGGATGCGGACCAGGTGGTAGGGGACGAAGCAGACGATGTAGCCCGCGGTCACCAGCAGGGTGCTGAGGAGGGTCCTTTTCACTCTGGGGTAGCTGTCGTCGTCCTTGCTCCTGTAGAGCTGCCGGATCACAAGGATGTTAGAGAGGACGATGATGACGGAGAAGTTGAGGAATATCGCGATGCAGATAAAGGTAGTCAGCAAGTGCCAGTTTCGCCCAAACTCACTCTTGAACTCCATGCAGCCCACGTCCGGCTTCTCCTCGATGTCCTGGATGGGGATGACCATGTTGGGCACCATGATCAGCAGCACCATCAGCCACACCACCACCGATATCATCTTGGCAAAGCCCGGCTCTTGGATCCGGTAGACCTTGCAGCCTTGGACCAGCTGGAGGCAGCGCTCCAGGCTCACGAAGGCCAGGAAGATGATGGACAAGTACATGTTGATGTAGATGAGGCAGGCGGTGACTTGGCAGTGGAATATCTGGAGCTTCCACGGCGCCACGCCCAGGTCCACGGTGATCTTCACCGGCAAGGCCAGGGTGAGCAGGAAGTCGGCCGTGAGCAAGTTGCTGAGGTAAATGCTCACGCACGGGTGCTCGGTGTCCTTCTGCCTGAAGGCCCAGGTGGCGAAGGCACTGCCGAAGATGCCGGCCAGGAACACCAAGTAGTAGAAGTAGGGGAACGCCTCCAGGCCACTGTGAATGGGGCAGAGGGAAGAGTCGTTTGTCATCTTCAGGGGCGGCGACGGTGGGCTGGCACGGAAGGGGCCCAACCTCTGGGCAACCTGTAGAAGAAGAAATTAAGAGCGGGGAGGTTGTCAGCCAAGGAGAGGTTTGCGGGATGGGCCTTTTTTTTTTTTTTTAGTGTGGGTGGTTTGTTGTGCTTTTTCCTACCTCGATCTTGTTCTTCGACCTAGTTTCATGGGTGAGCTTAGTAGGCAGCGTGGGCTGGTGGGGGCCTTGGGGTTAGGAGCTCAGGTGCCCCCGAGTTTCCCCCTGTGGGGAAGTCCTGGGTTGCTCTGGCTTGCCCGTGGCTCCGTCCCGAGCGGCCAGGTTGGAAACCAGTGTGCAGGGGAGACAAGGGGTGGAGTTCTGAGAAGCAGAGAGGAAGCCGGGGAGGCTGGTCCCACTGCGGCTCAGCCCGCAGGTGGCTTATGGCCGAGTAGAGAAGTTCAGGGGAGCGCTCGGACCGGGGCCACCTGGGGGTGGGGCTAGAAAGGCGACCCCTGAATCCAAAGGGCCTTTGGAAAGTCGGTCCTCGGCTGTACCAGATGCGCCTTCCCGGCCGTTGCTGTTCTCCAGACTTCACTGGGGGCTCAGAGGGGTACCGAGAGCTGACGGAATGTTTGTCCCTGCCTCTCCCTCGGCGCCCCGTCCTCACGGTAGAGGCTGGCCTCTGCTTCCTGAGTGGAGTGGGCGGTTCCGAGTCCCCCGACAATGTCGGGGGGGGGGCTGCAGTGGCCTCTTGCAAGGTTCTCTGAAGGGAGACGGCGTTCCCGGCACTTGTGGAGGGTGGTTTCATTTTGGCTTTTTCCCAACAAGGACTCTGAGGGAGCTTAACGGGCTGAGTGTGTGATTCTCTCGCAAAGGCCCAGCTTCAGTCCCTGGCGTCACACGGTCCCCTGTGCCCCACCAGGAGTGACCTCTGAGCACGGAGCCCAGAGTAAGTCCTGAGCAACAATGGGAGTGACCCAACCCATGTCTACTTCCAGCCCTGCCCCGTTCTTTGTGTGTGTGTGTGTGTGTGTGTGTGTGTGTGTGTGTGTGTGTGTTTCTTGGGGGTGGAGGGGCACACTCAGCGTTGCTCAGGGCTTATTCTTGGCTCTGCACTCCTGGCCGGGATCCAGAACACCATATGGGGTGCTGGGGATGGATCCTGGGTACTCTCTGTTGGGCCCCCCAAACATCTGACTTTCAGTGTGAGTGGTTCTCTCCCTTCCCCCTCCCCTCCCCCTTCCCTCTCCTCCTCCTCCCTCCTGGGTTTTGCAGCAGTCAGACCCGGAAGCCTAAGAGACTGTTGGCCCCTGAGAGAGAGCCTTGAAGCCTTGAATCACTGGGGCCAACGCGCAGAGCAGACTAGTCCTGCCCCCCAGACAGGAACAGGTGCTTCTCCCTTCCCCAGTGGGGTTTCACCCACTTCCTCTGATCTGCTGCTGCAGACAGACCACGCTCAGGGCTGAGGGTCCTTCCTGCAAGGACCTCCGTGTCCCTGCCCCGTGCCGTGTGTGTGTGTGTGTGTGTGTGTGTGTGTGTGTGTGTGGTGTGAGGGATCGACCCAATACCTCCCCTATGCAAGGCGAGTGTTTTACTTCTGCTCTAGCCCCTAAACCTTTTTCTCTTTCTTGTTTTCTGTTTTTTTTCCTGGGGCCACACCCAGCTGTGTTCATGGATCCCTCCTGGCTCTGTGCTCAGAGCTCACTCCCGGCTGTGTGCTCAGGGCTCACTCCTGGCTCTGTGCTCAGGACTGACTCCTGGCTCTGTGCTCAGGGATGACTCTTGGCTCTGTGCTCAGGGCTGACTCTTGGCTCCATGCTCAGGGATCACTCCTGTCCCTGTGCTCAAGGATCACTCCTGCCTCTGTGCTCAGGGCCGACTCCTGGCTCTGTGCTCAGGGCTCACTCCTGGTGGGCCCAGGGGTTGCTGGGGTTTGAACCTGCGTAGCTGCATGCAAGGCAGGCGCCCAGCCCTCTGGCCTCTCACTGCAGCATCCCAACTGTGGTTCCTTAGTGACTGATCTGATATCCGGGATTGAAGTAGCCGGGGTCCCGTGGCTACGTCAGGGCCTTTTCCCGGGAGTCAGCTCCAGGCCACCGGGATCTCGTGTCCAGAATTCAGCCCCCGAGGCACGTCCTTCTGTCGCCCTCGGTGACAGTGGTCACTTACTCTCTGTCCAGCACTGCAAGGGCCTCGAGGTACTTTTTCCTTCTCGCTTCAGCCCTGGGACAGGAGAGTGTGTCCCTGTTTTACGGAGGGCGACGCTGCAGCGTGCAGCTGCTGGGCTTGGGCGGGACGCCAGTCGCATGTCGCATCTGCTGCCAGAGCCGGTGCAGAGCCGCGGCCGAGGCTCAGCGGGGATGACAGTGGCAGCTGTGGCGCAGCGGTGGGGACAGCGCTTGACTTTTCCCGAGCACTTCCTGGCAGCCAGCGCAGGGACCACAGCCCAAAGCCCCGCCCATTTCACGTAAAAGGAGAAGTCGGACGCTCTGGACTGCGCCTCTCCACGCCAAAAGAAGTTTAGGCTCTATGTGCTTTGAGGTTTTCTTTTTATACGTGTGTCGCTGTGTGTGTACATATGTAATCAAACATGTATGTCTGTATATAAAACTTGGGCTGGAGCAATACCACAGCGGGTAGGGCGTTTGCCTTGCACACGGCCAACCCGGGTTCGATTCCTCCGTCCCTCTCGGAGAGCCCGGCAAGCTACCGAGAATATCCCACCCACCCGGCAGAGCCTGGCAAGCTCCCCGTGGCGTACGCGATATGCCAAAAACAGTAACAACAAGTCTCACAATGGGGACGTTTCTGGTGCCCGCTGGAGCAAATCGATGAACAACGGGAGGACAGTGCTATACAGTGCTGTATATAAAACTCGGGCTTTGCGAACATTGACACTCTCCAAGTCCCCTTGCCCCAGCCCTCCTGGTACCCTGGTGCCAGGTGTCTGCTCTGAACCCTTTGGCCCGCCGCCCCGCACGCTCCGCGCTCGTTCTCTTTGAGGATCCGAGGGCTGAAGCCTGGAGGCCCCTTTGTGGGTAGCAGCAAGTCCAGCCCCGAGCAGCCGGGGGCTCCCCGCTTCCCTGTTGGCCATGGCAGGGTAGACCGGCTGGTCCCTGACCCTGCCCGTCCTCTCCTGGATTCTGCCTTTCTCCCTCCTGTCCCCGAGTGCCACGTGACCTAGCGCCCGCAGCAAGCACCTCCCGTGTGCTCTAACGCTGGTGCCCCAGCGCTCCTAACAAGCACCCTTCTCTGCGCCCAAAGCCAGTGCTGGTGGGACTCTCTCCCCACCTCTCTCCACCCTCTGCCCTTCTGTTTGTCCTCTACGAGTTGGGAGGGTTTTCACGTAGCTCTTCTGTGTGTGAAGAACATGTTCCTTTTGCGGGCCTCTTGCCGGGATGGCGGGTCATACAGTACACGGCGTTCCCGGGATGGGCAGCGGGAAGGAGAGGCAAGGAGCATGATGGCCTTGCCACCTGCTCCCCGGAACTCCTGCCGACTGTGTTGACCGGGAGACCGTTGGGCTGTCTGGTCACTGGGAGCCCGTGTCCCTCCTCTGCTTTCCTGAGCCTCGGTCCAGAGTGCACATGTAAACAGATCACTGCACTGGGCACCTTTGGTTATGTTGATTAGAAGCTGGATGGCCTAATGGTGATCATGGACTCTTTATTTCTCTGTCAAAAATCCGGAAGCGACTGCCAGACAAGTGTTTGGCCAACACCCCCCCCCCCCGTGGGGTTTTGAGGTGCCCGGGCCCCTGAAGCAAAACAAAGGGATTCCGTGGCTCCCGGCTCGCCTCCAGGGCGGGGTTGCTGAGAAGTGGGTCACTGGGTTATCGACAGAAGGCCCAGGGGACGTTTCCCGGCCTGACCGGCCATCAGGCTCCTTACGGAGAGCCCTCGGGAGCCCGCGATGCTCCGTCCATCTGGAGAGAGGCAGGGGCGAGTGGATCCCAAAGCTTCTATTCCAAGCTCATCACTGATGCTCCCCCCACCCCTGCAGTGGCTGCTTGGGCAGGTCCCCACACAGTGGCTGCTTGAGATGCAAGGAGTGGCTCCAGCCTTCCCAGGCTCGGTGACAAGCCCCACCCGGGCTCCTGTCCCGCCGGCCCCTGGCCGGTGTTTTGTCCCGACCGAAGCTGACAGATGGCTTCCCACCTTCCGGACCCAAAGACCAGCTCCGAGGGTGTAAACCGTGGAGACCAGCCCTCCCCCTCCCTGGAAGGCTGTTGCTTGACCAAATACTTAGAGGCGTACCTGTGGGGACAGTCTGGGGTCCAGGCGACCTGTGCGGGGTCTTCGGGGGAGCCGGGGCTGTCTGCAGCCTCTGCTCCAGGCTGCCGGCAGGACTGTTTCCTGTCCCGTTTCTGTGGCTTTGCAACGTTGTAGCCTGACACAGATGGAGCTGTGGTTTGCAACCGCAGGGGTGAGAGCCTCCTCGCGAAAATCTTCCCGAGCCTGGGCTGCTCCTGATGCGCTTCAGGTGGGCCACGCGGGGAGGGTGGCGGGGGCAGGACAGATGGTCACCCTCACACCTGGCTGGTCAGCACATTCCCTCGGGAGCCACCTCGGGAGATGCTCTTGGACGTGATTCTAAGGGGCATCCGGCTGTGTGCCTTGAAATAGATTAAAGATAAAAGGTGTTTCACCTTCCCCTCCCCTCTCCTCTCCCCCCTCGCCCCTCCCCTCCCCTTTTCTTTCCCCTTCCCTCCCCCTTCTCCCCTCCTCTTCCCCTCCCCCTTCCCCTCCCCCCTCCCCCACCCTTCCTGTTCCCCCTCCCCCTCCCCTTCTCCCTCCCTTCCACTCCCGCTCCCTTCCCCTCCCCCTTCCCCTTCCCTCCCCATTCCCCCTCCCTTCCCCCCTCCCCCCTCCTTTTCCCCCTCCCCTCCCCTCCTCTCCTTGGTTTTTGGGCCACACCCAGCTGTGCTCAGGGCTGACTCCTGCCTCTGTGCTCAGGGATTCCTCTTGGCAGGGCCCAGGGATGGGACGGGACACTTGCTTTGCAGGGCAAGGGCCTG